AATCAGTGCATGTTGATTTTACTCTTCGACCAAATGAACAAAAACAAATAAGAATAAACAATGACGTTATTCCGCATCACGATTCGGCCAAATACCTAGGGATGAACCTAGATGTAAAACTTAAATGGAAAGAGCACATAAAAAATAAGCGTAAAGAACTTGAACTTAAATTCAAAAAAATGTATTGGCTCCTAGGAAGAAAATCCAAATTGACAGTGCACAACAAACTGCTGATTTATAAACAAATCCTAAAACCAATCTGGATTTATGGCATACAGCTATGGGGATGTGCCAGCAAGAGTAATATCAACATGATTCAAGTTTTCCAAAATAAAGTCCTAAGATGCATTGTTGATGCACCTTGGTTCTACCGAAACGATTATCTTCATAGAGACCTGAAGATGCCAACAATCGAAGAAGAAATAAAGAGGTTTGCTGCGAAACATGAGGGTCGACTCCACTCCCACGTAAACGAAGAAGCGCTGCAATTACTGAACAACTCTACACTCAACAGAAGGCTCAAAAGGAAGAAGCCATTTGAGCTAGTGCAGTGAACGTTAATGTTAGTGCTAGTGTAAAACAGTGTAATAAATCTTCACGCCAACTTGTGATGCTTTCCTATAGAAACAATTAAGACAGCCCAATGGGGACTTCTTAGATAAGTAATTAGTTTGTAAGATTTTTAGATTAAAATTGTGTAGGTTAGTCAGTGATGACTAGTAACAATACTAAAAAAAAAAAAACCATATCGAACTGAGGCCCACATGGATAAACTCGTAGCGTGAAAAAACGAGAAATGATTTGATTTGGAGGAACGAAAGACCGGAAACTGATAGTAGTATAAAGACGTTAAATTTTCATGTTTGTGAATCGTTGCCATTACTTAGGTTAAACCCCGTGATGATCGTTCCAAGCCTTGATTTTTAAAACCATTCCATATCGCCTTTTGGAGACCTGTCTATGTAAAAACATTTGCACCCATTGCCCCTTAAGCCAACTCAATGTATAAGATGGGTAAGAGAAAGCCCGATGACGCGCTGAATCAATTTTTTGCTGTTTTTCAGAGGTAATAAGTTTAAAAAAATTATTATTAACATTTTTCATAACACTTTGTTATATTTGCCGATTAATAGTTTTGTATCATGTGATTTTTTTTTTACTTTTTTAGATACTTTTGATAACTTTTTTATTTATTAAAGTTAACAGAAACATTTATTTTTAACATTTATTTTTATTCATGAAAAAATTTTTTGTCAGATACTGCCTGAGAAGTAAAATCTTCAACCTTTTTTTTTTAATACGATAAAAAGGCCAAATGCACTTGTGATCTTTAGATCTCTCTGGTTTTGGTTATGTTTTCTGTGATAACCAAATAAAGACACTGTATTTAACAAAACCGCCATTACCTGAAGACTTAGCAAAAACGTGCAACTGTAAAAAAATAATGCAATGAAAGCTTGTTCGTGTCAAAAACTAAACAATGACGTGTGTGGCATTATGCGGATGTTTAATTGAATGTTGCCAAAATCAATTTCATGTAAAAACTAGTTAAATGTACAAACTATAATTTTATGTAAATTTTTTCTTAATAAATGAATATTACTATTAAATAATCATAGTGGAAAAGAATTAACAACCATAGAAAAAATTGAATACATATATATTGCGTACTCTGTTTTAAAACAAAAACCAGGTGAGTCAACTATGTTCTTCGTAACAGGTAGAAATGTCCCTTGAATTACGGTAGGTATGTTTGTCTTCTTTTATCTTATTGGAAAAAAAGTGAGAAAAATGTATTTCTTAGACAGCTCTTGGCAATGATTTTTTTTTGTGGATGGAACATTTCTATTAACTTCAATGAATAAAAAAGTTATCGAAAGTATCTAAAAAAGTAAAAAAAAACAAACAAAACAAAACTATTAATCGGCAAATATAACAAAGTGTTATGAAAAATGTTAATAATAATTTTTTAAATCTTATTACCGCTGAAAAACAGCAAAAAATTGATTTAGCGCGTCATCGGGCTTTCTCGTACCCATCTTATACATTGAGTTGGAAGTGAGAAGTACTTCTCTCTAAAAGTACACGCGCGTAGGAATCATATTGTTATAACGTAAAAAAAACATAACAACAAACAAAATTTTGAAAATTTATTTAGGTTATTTTGTTTATTATAGTTTGAATATTCGGTAAAAAATTTAAAATTATAGCATTTTAAATTTTAAGGTATATTATTTAATTCAAGAAAATTAGAATTTTCGTCAATTTCGAATTTTAAAACATTCATAACAATTAAAGGGTTAAAGATACGATGATGGGCGTAAGGACTTTTTTATTCGAAATATCTTAAAGAATATAAAAAAAATTAATTCATTGCAAAAAATGCATTTTTTCTGGCTTAATTAATTTTTCGTTGTTTAAACAATAACATCAACAGATATCGAGTGTCATCTTACACTTTTATAATCAGGAAAGCCTTCCGGACATTAAAAAAAAAAAAAAAAAAAAAAAAAAAACGAATTGAAACAGTTTTGTAAACGAATGCGCCAGTATGCTCTGGTCTATTTAAAAAATCCGATTTTTCAAACAATTTACTGTATGACACAATTTAAGTTGTACAAGAAATTGTATCAAATTTTGTACAAGAAATTGTGTAGTCTAAAGTAGTCTTTAGTTATAAGCGTGTAAAATACCCTATACTATTTGGTATTGTTTTAATTGGAAAAACGAGGATAATTCAAATAGAAAATCCATTTAAAAACACTCAAGTTTGTTTCACACTGAAGTTATTTAAATTTTTACAAGCTGATGTATTATTCATAATATGATTACACTGGCAGTGTTTTTTGATTTACAGAGGGCATTTGAGACTATTAATAGGGGTAGATTATTAATGAAATTAAGAGCTATTGGTTTGGGGGATTGTGCACTGGACTGGTTGGGTCATTATATGGAAAATAGGAAACGGAAAGTTAAGGTAGGTAATTGTGTTTCAGATACTATACAGAATAATATGGGGGTGCCACAGGGTAGTGTTCTAGGTCCGCTACTGTTTTTAATTTATATTAATGACATTGCTGGTGTAGTCGAAAGATACTCAATACACTTATTTGCAGATGATACACTGATAGATTTTACCCATGAAAACAATGAAACTTGTTTTAAAGAAATTAATAGTTCTATAAGTAAAATATATGATTGTAACGGAAACTCGTTGAAAATAAATTACGAAAAAACAAAGCGGATGTTAATTGGGGGTACTGGAAATTTAAAAAAATTAAATGTAGCATCGCAGTGTGTTTCTATTGATGGAATAAAGTTTCAGAGAGTTGAAAAATTTAAATATCTAGGAGTTATGGTTGATACAAATTTACAATTTAAGAAACATGCTAATAACATCATCAAAAGCATATCATTTAAAATAAACTATTTGAGGCGCTGTTCTCCACATCTCAGCAAATGGGCTAAAATAATAATTTATAATACTCTAATATTACCTCATTTTAATTGTATTGTATTTGCTCAACCAGAATGAGTTGCAAAGATTGCAAAAGTTGCAGAATAGGAGTATGAGGATAATACTAAGCTGTTCGAGATTGGAACCACTCAATTCCATGTTGAATGTGCTTCAGTGGTTGCCTGTTAAAAAATATTTGCTATTCTATTCCCTGCTATTTATATTTAAGCTTAAATCAGGAATCTCCCCAGTATATTTACAAAATATTTTAAGTTATAATCAGGATGTTCATGAACACAATACATGAAATAAGAAAAAATTTTGAGTTTATAAGGCCACGAAAAAATGTACACATAATTCAGTGTTTTTTAAAGGTGTATAGACTTTTTGCCTAAAGATATTAAATGTTCTTCAAACGCAGCAATATTTAAAATAAAACTGCGAGAGTACTTGCTGACCAATTGACGTTTTTTCTTTCTTGTTCTTTTATTATGTTTTGTATATTTGACATGTAAGTGTACTGTATCTTATGCATTTTTTATTGTATTTAAAATGTATGTTGATTCTATACTTATATATTTTTTATATTTTAAATGCAAAAATGTATTGACATGTAAAAAATAGTTTTTTTGACTAAATAAACGATTCATATATCATTCTTCACCTAATAAAATATTTATTTATTGATACAAAGTTTTTGTTTTCCTAATTCCCAATCAAGATACAATGTTTTCCAAAAAAATTTGGATGTCTTTATCGGAACCACTTCCTTTGGTTACCAAACATTTTTAAATCGATCCAAATAACTACCTTATTTTTCTACGATAACTTTTAACCACATGTAATGGATTTTAGTATAAAAGGATAGCTTTTTTTTTTAAAATTTCAGTTTGTGGGGTGTCTGGGAAGTCAACGCCTTCAGTTTACTAATAAAGGTAAGAAAATCATATAATTTTTAAGCATGTTTTTGAATAAGTACCTATTTTTTTAAACGTTCAAAATTTCTATTTTTTTTACATAGTGACACAACTGCAAAAATTAAAATATATTAGTAGGAATAAAAAACTTTGAATAAATTGTTATAACTTTGAAAATGTCATGTAAGTAAGTCAAAGAGGTGTTTCTTCAAATGGGATGTACCACTGTAATATATTATTAAAGACTAATGATGGACTTAACTCAATTATTGATATTGTTGCATTTGCGTCACTGCTTTACCGGAACAGCGATAGATAAATTGCCATTCAGATGAATATTCTTGGTAGTTGTATCAGTATAAATAAAATCCATCCTCATTCCAAGTGGTTTTTGGGATATTTAAAATTATAAAAATATGTTTAAATACACTCGATTCTTTTATTATTTATTCCTAAACTTAATCTTTTTTTTTTATTTGAAGGTTTTAACTGTTATTTCTGATAATTATGTAACCAAAAGATTATTTCTATAATTACATAATTTTTCAGTTATCCTTTTTGTTTCAATATTGAACTTTTTTATAATCAATTTGCTAAACAAACGGATTGTAGGTATTTTTTGCAAATTTTTAGAGAAATTTAAGTAAAATGTCTGATTTGAATGGCTCCTTATCTCCCGATGACACCAACGTAGTTGGTATACCATAGGTATCGTTTTGATTATTGATTTTAAAATAATCCCTTATCAAAAGATGAATCTAATTTGCTTACTTTTGTATAGTTGTTGAGGAGCGCAAACATGTCTACTACAAAGCAAAATATTGTGAAGCTCTTCGACAGGCCAAAAGAATTGGTAATCCAACCCAAAGGACGAGACAACACCGTATTCGACGTACCACCTGGTTACATTGTAAGTATACGAGTCTATTTAAAATTACATTGAGTATTTTTGTCTTTTTTTGTCAAAACGAGCGATATGTAAAATTATTTAATTTAAGAAAAAAAAATGTTTATTTCGTACTCGTGTACCATAGCAACAATTCAGTACTGTTATAGCGAAAGTAAAATTTGGAAAGGCTTTTGGTAGGTAGAGAGGGGGTAAACGTCAAACCACGTCGGACGGCTTCGAGAATTTCGCAGTAATGTTTACCTGCCAGTGTCGTTTCATAGAATAAGTAATTTTAAATTGTTATCGGCGGAACCGGACAATCGCATGTATTTATGGACTATAAATAATTATTAAACATGTATTATAATATTCAAATCATAATTTTACAAAATTTCAACAGCTATTCACAATTTATTAAACTATTTACTCGAAATTGTTATTAACATCTATAAAATAATTTTGTACGCCAATGTATCGCGTCCACTTCGGTGAGATCCGCCGCAAACCTGTCAATTTATGTGTATAAAGTGGGAGAACTGGCAAAAGCCTTTCCAACTTTTACTTCTGCTATAGAATTGCCTATTAGTACCTAATAACAAAATTACGTCAACCGAATTGGTCAAAACTATGTCACGTGACAAAGGAAGTTATTTTTATTATAATTTGTATTGGTCTTAACATAATTAATACTCTTTTATGTAATTTTGTTCAAAGTCCAATAAATCAGCTTTATTAAATTAATTAGTAAATATTGTAGGTGTTAAGGTTGCATCTAACATTTTACAGTTGATTTTATTTCTTGTTTATATTATGTATAATAAATTTAAATTTTTTTATACAGCCAGATGAATATAAAAATGTTGGAACCCAAATCGTAAACAGATTTAGCGGAGAAGCTGACGGCAAAGTCCCAGTCAGTACCATTTCCATTCCTCCTCTCGGAGACATTTTGGAATTGCGAAGGGATGAGAATTTCTCCTTGTTCATTCCTAAGCATCGTAAAATTGCTGGAAAACTCATTAACATCTATCTTGGTAAGGAAATTAATTATAATAATAATCACTGATAACTGTGGTCCACCATATTTTCCTTGTTCTCTAAGAGATATTGTTTGTGGCTTCACAATAACAGAATGTACAGGATGTCTCATTAGTGCGTAATTGTTCAATATTACAATGTGTGTTATATACCAGGTGTTCAAATTAAAGTGATACAGTTAAATACCGCCGAAAATATGCATTTTATAAAAAAGTTTTATAGTTTTTTGGGTGAAACATTTTGGCTAAATTCATTTTTTTATAGCTGACCATAATATGGCCATATCGAGGTGGACTTTTTTTTTTTAATTTGAATCCCATTTTTTTAATTGGAATCCCATTTTTTACATATTCATAAATTTCATAAAAAAATAAAAAACTTTTAAAGGAAATATTTTTTTATTGGACTTTTACTTACTGACTAACACCTACTTGAAAATTTTCGCCAAAAAAACTATAAAACTTTCGTCTTAAACGTTTTTTTTAATAAATGACGGTATTTAACTGTAACACTATAATTTGAACACCCGGTATAGACACGCAAACAAGTTTCAAATAAAAGTTATATGGATTTGAAAAATTCATATTTAAATATATTTTTTGCACTTACAGGGTGTTGCGTTTTTGCCTGGCAAATAAAAATGTATATTCTTTAATAGAACACCCTGTATTTTATTTCGGTTTTTTATGAAATTCGAGAATGATGCAGACCCCAACTTAAATTATCAAAATTCAGGTAAGTTTACAATGTAAGTTCAAAAATTGTTTAAAATACAGACTTATAAGATACTAAGCTAATGAATAGTAGTGATATAATTGATTTATTTTATACAGAGTGTATTGAAACATACCTTAAATATAGCTAATTTTAAGTTCAATTAACTCAATTTTTTCAAATGCAACACCCTGTATATTATTTTAGCTTAACATTCCTTATACATTTGCTTATCCAATGATACCAACAGGTTAGTCAAAATTATATAAAAGTTGTATGACCATGTTTAATAAATACTCTTAAATATACAGGGTGGTCCATAAACGAGAGTAGAAATTGAGTAAATTGAACTTAAAATTAGCCATATTTAAGACATGTTTCAAAATACTCTGTATAAAATAAACCAGTTTTATCACCACTATTCGATAGCTTAGTATCTTATAAGTCTGTACATTAAACAATTGTGAAATCAATGTAAACCTACTTAAATTACAATAATTTAATTTGGGGTCTGCATCATTCTCTATTTAAAAAAGAAAACAATAATTGCTTGGCAATACTGTAATATTTTTTAAAAACATTCTAAGGTTCAATACAGTATTACCAAACCATTCTAAAAATAAAGTACATTGTGTTCTCTTTAAAAAACATACATTCTTATTTGCCAGGCAAAAGTTTTATTTGAAACTTGTTTGCGTGTCTATAACACAAATTGAAATATTGAACAATTACGAACTGATGGGACACCCTGTATATCTCAATTCAAATGCAGGTAAAAAACTGTCAGTGTGTAATATACCTTTCTAAAATACTGAAAGTTTTTTATTATGTCATTGTGAATTATTTACATTTATTTATCTTAAACTTTTAGGTATGCGTACAGTGGATGATCTACTATCAGTTGCTGTTTACACCAGAGACAGAGTAAATCCTTACCTCTTCAATTATTGTCTTTCTGTTGCTCTTTTACACAGACCTGATACGCAGGATGTTGATTTACCGTCCTTTATTAGCGCCTTTCCTGACAAATACGTTGACAGCAAAGTATTCGCTAAGGCCCGAGAGGAAGCTAACATTGTACCAGTTGGTTCCAGAGTAAGAAACCATTTTTTATGTAAAGTAAATATTGGCCAAATTGATTTGAGAAATTAACTGACTAAAAAAACAGACTCCCAGATTGTAATAATATATTCCTAATAGATAAAAATTTAATGTATAAAAAATTACAGAGTCTATTCCTATATAAAAGATGTTAATAATACTTTCTCATATTTAGAATTAAATTAACATAATTTTTAGACACCCATTGAAATTGCCAAAGATTATACAGCATCGGACTTAGAACCAGAACATCGCCTTGCTTACTTCAGGGAGGACTTGGGTATCAATCTTCACCATTGGCACTGGCATTTGGTTTATCCCTTTGAAGCAGCTATGGAAGTTGTCAACAAAAATAGAAGAGGAGAACTTTTCTACTACATGCATCAACAAATCGTTGCCAGGTTGGTTTTCTATTAGTAATTAATAATGAATTTAGTAGTTTCTACTTGGTTTCTTTTCACCAAGGCTCTATTTCATTTTATTTTAGATACAACTTTGAACGACTTTCTCACGGAATGAAACGAGTTGAACGTTTTATTGACTGGAGACAGCCCATCGCAGAAGCCTATTTCCCAAAACTAGACAGCTTGGTAGCCAGCAGATCATGGCCCGCACGTGTAGCCAATCAAAAACTTAGTAATCTCAGAAGAGAAGTTGACCAAATTACTACTGATATCGATGATATGGAAAGATGGAGGGACAGGATCTTCAACGCCATCAGTTCTGGTGTAGCGAGAAATGTAAGTTATTTTTTTTTTGTAAAATCGAGTATAGAGTTTTCATATTGGAAATTCAGAAATACATTCTAATTTTTTCCAAAGAAATCATTTAATTTATCACGGGTTGCCGCTCGTCTCTTTGGTACTAAAAAATCGATCTTTCAGTATATTTTTTTTATACGGGGTATCCCATTAATGCGTAATTGCTCAGAATTTCAATTTGTGTTGTAGACACGCAGACAAGTTTCAAATAAAAGTTATATAAATTTTTTTCTTGTTGAGTAGAAAATAAAAATGTATAATATTTAAATGGAACATCTTGTATTTTATTTCAGTTTTATAATGATCTAGTAATACTGTATTTAACTCTTGAAGGTTTTTAAAAAATACAAGGTTGCAATTAATTTTTTGTGAAATTAGAGAATGATGTAGACCCCAAATTAATTTATCATAATTTAAATAGGTAGACAATGATTTCAAAATTGTTTGAATTACAGACTTATAAGATACCAAGCTAAGGAACAGTGCTGACAGAACTGGTTCAGTTTATACAGAGTATTTTGAAACATGTCTTAAATATGGCTAAGTTTGCTTTTAACTGTCACAAACTTGGATGGGTAAATTCATTACGAATTTAATGCTAAACTAATGTACAAAAAAATTAATTGCTTGCCAACCCTGAAATATTTTAGCGTTAAATACGGTATGACTAGGCTATTCTAAAGTGAAATAAAATACGGAGTATTTCATTTAAAAAATATACATTTTTATTTGCCAGGAAAACGCGCAACATCGTGTATATCCAAAAATATTTTTAAAATATGCCGATTTCAAAGCCATATAACTTTTATTAGAAAACTTGTTTGTGTATATATACCACAAATTGATTTATAGAGCAATTATGCACTAATGGGACACGCGGTATACATAATAATTCAAAACCAATAACGTGGTTTTATAATCATTTAAAGTCAGTACGTCCTAATTGACAATAAATATATTTAGCTCATTAAAAACTATATTTTATGATGTACCATGGGGTACCATTCTGGGACCAATCCTTTTTAATCAATATTAACGATCATTTTAAATTTAATTTAAAGGTAAAATTGTTCGGTTTTGATGACAGTAACATTATCTAGTATGAAAAATGAGTTTATTATTCTGATTCTAGGAACAAGGACAAGATGTCCCTCTTACTGAACGGGATGGTATTGATATCTTAGGAAACATAATTGAATCCAGTATTTTGTCCCCTAATAGAGGTTTTTACGGAGACTTGCACAATATGGGACACGTGTTCATATCATATATTCACGATCCTGATCACAGGCATTTGGTAAGAATCCTTTATTAATTTTCTAAAATTTTTATAATTAAAATTCTAAAATTAGCAAAATTAAAATTATTGGATATAAAGATTTTGATCAAATTAGATGTATTAAAGATAAAGCAATAGGTACCCATTGTGGATACAAAGGAGTCATGAAATGGGACAAAATTGGAAAATTACTGTAGAGGGGTGAATTTAGCTTAGTTTATTCCAATATTTTATTAGTTTTTCCATCTAATTCAAAGCATATACTCTGTTATTGTTATTTGTACAATCAGTTTGAGAGCAGCACCTTCAGGTGAAAATTATCCTAATGGAAAAGTAGTTGGGATTAAAAATTTATAGTAGAAGTAAGACTAGGGAAAAGGTCTAGATGACGATAATTAAAAATTATTTTAAATTTCTCTAGGCGAAGAAGATAATATATAAAACTTCTCTGATAATGTTATTCTAAATATATTATATTTAAGAAATTGGCGTCTTAATTTGCTTAATTTAGCTTATTTAATATTTAAGTTTTATCAATAATTTCTTTACAGGAATCTTTTGGTGTAATGGGAGATTCTGCCACAGCTATGCGTGATCCAATTTTCTATAGATGGCATGCGTACATTGATGACATTTTCCAACAGTACAAGTCAGGACTGCCAAGATATACCGAAGCTCAGGTAAAATTATTATATCACTAATATTGTATAAAATACCTATGCAGTTACACTTATTTAATCTATTATCATCCCCTTATACATTTGATTAAATTAATAAGCATGTTAAGTAATTTGTTGGTCAATTCAAATTTAATTCAATTGAAATTGATTATTTAATCTGTAAAGTAAAAACGGTAACATATTAATAATGAATACCTGTGCTTATATCACTGTCAAATTATTTTTCAAATTTAAATAAAAAATGTTTTTTTTATTTGTTTCGTGATATAATCTAATGAATATAACTCTAGATGTAGATAGTTTGTATTACAGAATATCACTTTTTACTCAAGGGTAATTTCTCCATTAGAGGTCACCACCTATCGCTACACAAAAGTGTCAATTTTTAAACATTTATATTATTATTTTAGCTGGACTACCCAGGAGTAACCGTACAAGGTATTGCTGTAGAATCAGGTCAATCTCGTAATACTTTCAACACCTTCTGGCAACAATCTGACATCGATCTCTCCAGAGGAATGGACTTTCAACCTCGCGGTAGCGTTTTCGCTAGGTTCACTCACTTGAATCATCAACCTTTCAATTACCGGGTCACTGTCAATAACACCGGTGCCGCAAGACAAGGAACCTGCAGGATATTCATGGCACCTAAGTTCGATGAAAGGGGCAACCCATGGTTGTTCAGAGACCAGAAACTGTTAATGGTAGAGCTTGACAGATTCAGAGTAAACTGTAAGTAGTTGAAAAGATTTTTTTTTGTTAAATATTACATCTTTAATATACATATAAAATCTCAAAACTAGATACTTCTTTGCTCACATGTAGACACTGGTGTTTTTAATACTCATGATATAGAAACTGTACTGTGATCTCAGTTAATGCTTCTAAATAATCTTTTATATATTTTCTTCTATATCTAACTTATAACATTCCAATTATTACTTACTTTATCTACTAAATTTGTTCTGACAGCTTTTCAAAATTAATAATTATTATTATTATTCATCATCTTGACTTTTGTTTTTAAAATATTTCATCCTAAACATAGCCCAGTAAAATTTTTCTATTTATTTTCATAATCATTATTTTTTAACACATCAATATGGACCTTAGGAAAAGGTTTGGTATTAAGGTTGCAAGAATTGTTCATATAGAGGATTTCTTAAAAAACAAACAACGATAACACTTCAAGAAGCTGAAATCGTAAAAAGGAATAATAATATTACATTACTGAGAGATACAATTTTCTTTTATAGTGAGACAAGGACAGAATACAATTACGCGTGCTTCAACTGACTCTTCAGTAACCATTCCATTCGAAAGGACATTCCGTGATTTAGACACTTCCAGGCCACAAGGAGGTGATGCTCTTGCTGCATTCAACTTCTGTGGTTGTGGTTGGCCACAGCACATGCTCATCCCCAGGGGTAACACGGACAATCCTGGATTCAGAGCTGAACTATTCGTCATGATTTCTAACTTTGATGACGACAGAGTAAGTATATAATTATTATTTTTTTCTTGTTTCCACACATCTGTATTTTTAATCATTAGGCTTCCTACATCTGACATAACAAATGAACGTTTGAACCTTTTAAAAAATATTGCTGAATTGAGATGTTGACCTTAATTTTCTGTATTTTAATTTCAGGTTGACCAAGATATTTCCGGTATTTGTAACGATGCTGATACTTTCTGTGGTATCAAGGATAGATTGTATCCAGATCGTCGTTCCATGGGATACCCATTCGACAGACAAGCTAGGACTGGAGTTGACACCTTGAGACAGTTCCTTACCCCCAACATGAGAGTTCAAGATGTTGTTATTAAGTTCTCAAACAAAACTTTCAGACCAAGACAAAATAATTAGAACGATTAAGCCGACATTGTTTTAATGGATTACTTTTCTGGAATGTTTTATGTATTTACAGTTTACATTTTATTACCATTTATTTAGACGAACAAATAAAGTTTTGCAAAATATACTCTTTTTCATTTCAAATTATAGTTCAAATTTGTTGGTTAACCAGTATAATACTATTGTGAGGAAAGAAAGAGATGGGTTTTTAGCCCAAATGTCCACATCAGAGATAACCAGGAGATGTAACTATTAACAAATATCGTGCGGCCGTGAATAAGACATATTCTAAGGGACACAGTAGGGTATAATCACAATATATTGTGGGTATAATATCCGCTGTTGTCATTGTTAGTAAAGTGTATGAATTAAAATATTCGCTCAAGAAAACGATTCACCTCCCACTCTTTTGTCACATAGCTGAATTTTTCACAGATGAAAGGTCATGATAAGGTAACCCTTTTTCCGGAGTTAATACAAAATTAGATTGTGCAGAAGGGCACTATCATCAAAAATCCAGATATTGATACCACCGAATAGAGAAAAAAATACTAATTTTTTGGTCAAATGCACAATAAAATCTTTGTAGGGAGTAATTGTTTATACTTATTTAAAAAAAATCATTTGCATTAGCACTTACGGCCGAAAAAAAATATAAACGTAAATATCTTGGTTTTAGCCCTTCAAAAATTTAGTTAAAAAGTCGTCTTTTTTAAATATACCACTCATTTAACAAAAAACGAAGGCCTAAATGAAAAAAAAACATTCTTTATAAAATTTTTGCTTATGTGTTGAGAAGGTAACAAAGTAAACACTATATTTTTTGCTTCTGAATTAACAAAGATATAACAATAAACGATGAGAGATGTCATAGGTTTATGCTGTAATTAATTCTCACCGTCAAATTTATCGACTCTCAGTGTATCTTTCTCTTCACCTTCAAACGTAGCATAGCTCTGTTTCTCTCTACGTGCGGGCTGATGTATCACATTATTGATATGGTAGGATTTTTCATTTTTTTTATTATAAAACTGCTTGTTATGTTCCATAGGGCAATGTGTCATATTGTTATCTGTTTTTACTAAAGAATTAATAAGTGTATTTGTTATATATTAAATTACCTAATAAATTGGGAAAAAATATAGACATTTTTGCATCTTTATTATATCTACATTCATCCTGTTGCAGCTAAATATATTTGGGTAAGTTATAAGTTTTCGTTTAAAATTTTAATTACGGATTTGTTGCTGCAAGTAGCAGAGACAAAAATTATATCAAAATAGGAAAGTCCAAAAGTTGCATATCATTTAAAGAATATGCTCATATAAACATTATTTTTAGAAATAAATTTAATGCTCAAATGATAGATGTGGTATTTGATCATTATAAAGGACATTCTATCAAAAATACAACACGTCAAAAGAGAGGATTTCAGAAATATATTGATATAGAAATTGACCGACCCAATATTCCACTTCCGCAACAATAGAACTTGTTTATTCATTAGATATTTAACAAAAGACGTTTAACACATTTTCTGCCAGAGCAACTTCTTCAAAACTCCATATAGCAAAAGCATATTCAATTTCTAACTAGTGGTGGATTCGCGAAAATCAATAAATATGGAAAGAATTTTGAACCATCAAAAGACGATTTTTTTTTACTAAAGATATATGGTTCAGAACAAGGCGAGGAGACTCAAGGCGATTTCTAGCAGTACATTATTTAAATTTGGATGAAAACCTTCTAAAAAATATGCCTGCTTTTCATTCTGACCGGTTGTGATACAACCATTTAATTATCCGGCATTGGGAACAAAACCTGTTGGAAAACTTACCTTGAAAACCATTACTTTTTGGATGGATTTGGCACTGATCAGTACTCTGAAAACATATTCTCTAATCTTGAAAGAATTTTCCTAAAAATGTATTCAAAACTGCCAATGTTACTTTCATTAACATTTTGAGGGGATTATTGACCTCTTCAAAAACCATCGCTAAATTACCACCGACTGAAGACGCCCTAAGACTACATTGTTTAAGATGTTTTTACCAGCTAAATATTTGGCTAACCTCTTTAAACCCAGATGCAACTTCCTAATGTTGAAGAGTATGGATGGAAAGTAGATCAAGATGGAAGTCTGATACCCACTTTTAAGACTCTGCCCGACCTGCCACCAGACATAACAGAACTTACATCATGCAAATGCAAAAAACATACTAAACAATATTCTAACAATAATATTCTGTTCTAGACTGTGGAAGCAAAATTTGCAAATGCAGGAAAAAAAATATTTACTGTATCGGTTCCTGCACCTGTATGACACAGAAAAACTGCATAAATAGTTTGACCACAGCCGCTAATGTTTTGGAAAATGTTGATTCGTGTGGTGAATCTGATTCTGATTAGTTTGAAAGTCTTGTAATTATAAATTTTAATATTATTAATTTATGCTTTATATACTTCCTTCCAATTATTATTATTATAATTTATTTATATTGGGGATTTATTGTATTTTGCAAAGCAATAGCCTTACTGTTTATAATTGATACTTCAATAAATACCTTTAATAAATAGTTTATATTTTCTTATTTTCATTTTACATTAAAAATAAAAAAGAAATCTTGAAGTAATTATTAGTACACCCTATTAAACATGGTGGATGAATCAATAATCCCTGTATAAAATAATATAAGAGGGGTCAAACTGATTGCATACATTTCAATACTGAGATAGATGCATAAAGAGTCGATAGGCTCTGCCTTTAATGTTTGCTTTCTAGTAAAACCATGACATCACTAATGGTTTATTGCTATATTTTTGTTAATTTAAAAGCAACAAATATGAGGAAAGTACTTTTATCTTGACAATACATAGGCGAAACTTTTATAAAGAATAGTTTTTTTTCATTTAGGCCTTCGTTTTTCGTCAAATGAGAGGTATATTTCTAAAAGAAGATTTTTTATACAAATTTGTAGACGGTTGAAACTAAGACATTTAAATTTTTTTTCGATCATAAGGGCTAATGTAAATGATTTTTTTCAAATAATTATAAAAAAATACTTCCTACAAAGACTTAATTGAGCATAAGAACAAAAAATAGGTATTTTTAACCAAATTAGATGTAATTTCATTAAATTAGATGTAATAATTTTCAACAAATTCCAAAACCTAGTGATGTTAGAATGGAAGTGGCAACAGGGCTTACACCGGCAAGAAAAGTTACGTTAAGTAGTAAAAGCTCGGGCAGTTATTCATTGATAAAACTATGTAAAATTCTTCACTGTATCCCTTCTTTTACTTCTCACCTTTCGTCGCCTCGCCCCGCGTCTAGAAATAGAATGTTTTGAGTGCGAACTGTTCTTGGCATCATGAATATTATATTTTATGAATGACTTCTTATATCTCTGTTATCTCTGGTCCACATAATAGTTGATTATTTTGGACCCAAATACATAAACCACAATGTATTTAACAGCTTCGTTTGTTTACTTATCACTGAAGAAGAAACAATGATTGAATCTACTTTATCATGAGGATTTGGTTGTTAAAATGCGCAATGTTAACTGGAATACGGTATTATCAGAATCTGATGCAAATAAAGCTTTAGACAATTTTTATCTAATATGGAATAAAATTATATCCAACTTTGTTCCAAAGTTTAAGGTATATAATACTTATAATAAACATCCTATTTGGTTCACTAGGAAAATCATAGAAGCATTAAAACAAAAGGAGAAATTTAGGAAGTTAGGAATGGTTTTACTTATAAAAAAGAAGAGGGTAAATATATTAATAGTTTACAAAAAAATGTATCGAGTTAAATTGCTCGTTTTTTGGAATCATGTAAAAAACAAACGAAAAAAATGTACAGATACTGCAAATTTCGAATATAAAGGAAATCAAACTCAGTTACATACAGGGTGGTCTGTTAATAATGTACTCAGACCAACTATGGATTCCTTGCATAAAAATATTGCGATATATCACAATTTACCTTAGATCAATTCTTGGTAATAAACAATATACAAGGCGTTAAAGTAGATACCTAATAAAAGTGTTAAATGTTTTACTTGTTGCGTCAATATTTCAATCGAAAATATTAAATGCTGTAGATGTGTTAGAAATTATAACATAATTTTTAGTATTATAAAATCATTCGATCAAATTTTTTGTTTTTGAAATATGCATTGCCAATTTAATGTTTGTATATGGCGGTTTTGCTACAGATTTAAAGTTGGCTATAACAAATAATCTTCGTTTGTTTAATTTTACCGAGGTGCCATATACGCCATTTTAGTGATGATGTAATTATGGTTTCACTGACAATTAAAGTCACAGTAGATTTTTTGAATGCGTTTTGTTTACCTAAATTATATCCTTTTTTTCACTTTTATAAAAATATTCCTAAAGTAAGTAGATAACATCAGAGACGTGTAACTTAATACGAAAATTTGTTCGGTAGTCCATTTGAATTACATATATGACTTTCTTTCTCTTTTATATTGATCTATACATATATTTATCTCTCTTCAATAAAACTACAACCAGTGCATGAGGTCGCTGATGTTGCTGGTTTCTTGACGTTGCCGACGTGTGACGTATAGATTAGAACTGACAATGTTGTTATGAACGTGTGCATTTTATTAAAATTAATTTAATTTGTTCCTCGTTTATTTCTTCTTTGAGTCTGATTTTTTTGTTTAATTAGTTTGGGGGGGGGGTATTTATATTATTTTTTGCATGAAACAGTTTCTGAAACTAAACTCGCAAACAATATTATTGAAGTCGAACTATAGCAAAATTTACCATTGTTTGTTTAAATAATGGATGTGATACCAATATGTTTCAATATATTACCCATCCCATTTACTTAAATGTACTTAAATGTACTCTTTAGAAAACAATATTGAAATTAAAGTTCCTACGCACCAATATGCTGTGTAGTGATATCAGGAAGAACTATGACATAAAATCTAAGTGTCCGTTAATTTTTAGGAGCATGCATAAAATAAAGGGACATTATATAGACTTAAAAATGAAATATGTCATGGAGGTTAATCTAGATGCTCAGATTTGTTTTATTAGTCTCGTGTTCTGTGC